CCAGGCTGCCCGGCCCCGCCGGCATGAGCTCTCTACACAGGGGTTCACACCCGGCCCCCTCTGGCTTCGAAGCCTCCAGAATTCTCGGTACAGCAGGTTGCTGCTTATCTCCTTTTACATCCAAATTGGCTTATGCCCAGCAAAGGAGGGAGAAAATGGCACTTTTAAAAATCGAGATGTATATTCTGTCGCTTGGAGCCGATTTAAGGAGTTGTTCATCTTCTGAAATATTTTCATCTTATTTGAATGTATATTCTTGCTGCAAAACAGGTCTTTGGATACAAATGTGCAGCGAGCAGGAAGCTTTGAGCGTATCGGCTCTGCTGTCTCCCGTGTAGAAACCGAGCTGCTTTCAAGTTACATGGCTAACTGGACAGGAGGTTTGCAGACACGGGTGGAGATCAGAAGCCAAGGTTAGGTCCAGCGTGCAGCGAGCTGTCTCCTGGCTACTGCTGTGTATGCGTCCAAGATAATGTAAAAATCTGCTTGTCTTTTTGTCTTTTTAACACGTACTTGACTGCACAAACTAAGTATTTGCTAATTAGCAGCATAGGGTGAAAAGTATCCTACAGCAGCTTTTGTGGGTAATGTTTTCTTAATGTCTGTTAATGATAAATGAATTAATATGAATATTCCTAAAATAAATATCAAAGTGCTTTGCTGACTTCATTGGATCCAGAGTTTGATGCCTTCCATGAAGGACCAAGCAGTCTTGCCAGCTACTCTTGGAGAACATGATATATCCCTGCTGTTAAAATATATATAGATGCAGTCATGCACACACTCACGCTTACATACGTACAGCACAATAACAGGTTCAAATGATCTATCTTATTTTTATATGCAGTGTGCGAATAGGTGTGGGTGTGTGTTAATGTATTTTGGCAGGAGGAGAAATGTTTCTCCAGAGGCTGGGAATATACATTGAACAAAAAAGAATATTAATTTGCTTGGGTAAAAGAAGAAGCATCTTTAGAGATGTGCTAAAGACCCTCTTGTTCCTTGTGGTTTACTTTGTACATCTGTCCTGTGGAGCTTGTGACTCCCATCGTTTGCAGCTTCTTATGCATGAGGATGAGGAAATCAGCCTGAAAGACCTTTTTTTGATAGCAGGATCAGGAGGAAAAAAAAAAAAAAAGAATGGGCAAGTGCCAGTAGGGCTGCTCTTTTTTTTTTCCCCTCCTTACCTCAGTAAATTCCTGAGCGGTTTGGTGCTGTCAGATCGAAGGGTGGCTGTACTTCAGTCGGCATTGCAGCTCTTAGATCTCATCTGCCTCTGGCTGGAATCACGGCTTTTGCCAACATGAGTTGCTTGTCCAACAAGCATCGTGAATGCAAGGGAGGGTATTCAGGCAGGGGATGGGGACAGCTGTATTTATGAAAGCTGTTCGGTGAGGTTGGTGTATTTTTACTGTCATTTATGTATTTAAAATAGGAAATAAGTTTCTTGGGTTGTTGACATGCGTTCTTTCAATGCTTCCTTGGCTCCAGCCGTCAATTCCTGTAGCGTTAACAAAGGGGGCTGCGAGCAGGAGTGCGTTCAGCTCAGTGAAGACCACTACAAGTGCCAGTGCCAGCCAGGCTACCAGCTGAGGAGGGATGCCAAATCCTGCGAAGGTAAGTCCTACGCTGCCTGCCTGCAGACACACATTAAAAGCAATTTAAAAGACCCCAGGATAGTGCTTCAGGTCGCTGTATTCATTCATATTTCACCCTGCTTGCCAAAAGCAGCTTTAGGAATCGCTTATTAACAGGGTTTTAAAATGACATGTATTTGATGTGTGAAGTTCACATTGCTTCACAGCTTCGAACAAGATTTTGGCCTGACAGACCCCTGGCTGTTTGTTGCACACTGACAATGACGACATAGGTTAGGAACTTGATCGTGTTTTAATTCTATTACTCATCAAGTTGTATATAGTGTTGGCCTGTGTAAGATGTTTGATTCTACATAAAGTCTTTTCTTTATCTCCTTTTGGCTTGTGTTGCTCCTAATCGCAGTCTGATTCATTCATCCTCCCCTTCAGATATCTAAGCAAACACTCTCACAAGCAGAACAGAAATGCTACCTTTGGATTTGATTGTTGGTAGGTTTTTTTCTCTTGTATCTTAACATATTCATCAGTTTTTAGGGCAAGCCCCTCTTCCCCAACACAAGCGCACACACATGGTACCCTTGAATATGCCAGAGAAAGATAGGGCCAAATTTATGGATTTATTGCGCTAAAATTCCTGTCACAAAACCGTTTCCATATGGCTCCTCTTCTGCTTGGAGATTTTATATGCTGTGTATAAAGTGTAAGTAAATCCTGCTGTTCAGCTTGCTTCCAACTCACGCTGTGTGCAACGAGCACTTGGCCTTCGGTTTTGGCCTCCCCGAGTCCTGCCCTCTGCAGAGACTGCGCACGCTGCACTTCAGCGAGCATCCCCAACCAACTCGCCTCTCCGCCTCTCACGGGGTGGCCACGATTTGTCTCTCAGATTGACAGAAAGAGTCAGAAAAGGGGAGCGTTAGCAGGGAGAAGGCATCAGAGACCTTCCTCCACTGTTCTCCAGCCCATTTGCAAACCTCTTGCGGCTCCTCCACTGCCTCTGGCACTTGAGATGTCCTTGGCCAAGCCAGCTGGACGTGTGGACTCCTGCATAAAACTTTTTGGTGTTTTTTATGGTGGTGTGGTGGGACAGAGGTTGGATCGGCAGGATCTGAGTATGGTGATGCCCGGTGGGGTGGAAGTTGTCCCTTGGACGATCATGAAGCAGTTCAGACCTCCATATGCCACTTCATGCTCTATCTCAGTCGCCAGCAACTGGTTCAGCTCCACAGCAAAAGGAGCAGGCTCGGTCCCCTCGTTGGTGAGGTTTTGCCACCGTGCAGGCAGCTGCGGCCGTTCGCTCCCTCGCATTGTGGGGCTGATGAGGATCAGCCACCCACCGAAGGCAGCAGTTCGTCATCCGCTGGTAATTACTGTACAGTGGCGAAGGGGCAAGGTCAGCTTTGCCTGTGGGTGAGACCTCATCTGGAGTTCTTGTGTATGCCTGGTTACCTGTGTTCAGGGTGGTGTAAATCAAAATATAATAGTGCAAACCCCCTCAGGAGGACAGCTGTGGTCAGAGAAAGGAGAATCTATCTTGCCAGGGGAGCTCAGCTGGCAAAATGAAGACCGAGTAGGATGCTTTTCTTCCATAAATACCTTAGCAAATAAACGCCTGGGAGAGAAAAGTGCTAGTTAAGCTGATGGACGAGATTTTTATGGGAACAAATGAGCATAAAGTGGCCATGAATACATTTGGGTTGGCAATTAGAGATGTTTTAAGTAGAAGAGGTGGGAGGAGGTGAGCTTGGCTGCTTTTAATTTCCAGCCAGAAAGGATGGCTACTGTCGTGCTAGTTTGGATGCAGGAACTACAGCGTCAGGAGGGTGTTTATTACAGCAGGTGTAGCTGTGCTGCAGGTGTGGAGTGGTCCCTGCTGACTCCTTGGGAGCTGATACTGCTCCCCATAGCCCTGGAAGGCCATATAGAAACACCCAAGCCTAGCAGGGTGATACAGCCTTCAGCATGGAGGCAAACTGATGAGATGGAGTGGGGTAGCGTCAGACGAAGTGGTGAGATAGCTGCTCTGGGGGTGAGACATATATGGATGTGGTCAGCAGTGGCTGTGATACTTATAAAAGGATGGGCTATACAGGATGTGTGCTAGAGTGAATTCTCCATTGGGTTATCCAAGGGTGGCAAGAACAAATATCTTTCTCAAACCACTTTGACTTTCCCTCCTATAAGTCAATGTTATTTCCACCCCTAGCCTTCCCTGCCGTGAGAAGGAAATTTTACTCTTCACCACTTTGTATTTTCTCCAGTGTAAAGTCGTGGTTGCTGTAAGCAAGAAAATTAACTTGATAAGGCCCAGTTCTCTTTCTTTAGGTGCTTTAGACGTTGTGGCAGATAGGATTGGAGACCCTGTTCTTTACAGTCTTGCAGTGACGGTCTGGAAGGTCCACAGCACCTGCAGAGCCCATACTCACACTTCACCAAGAGCATTGCTGCCATCCCAGATCTATGCGTCACCATGGCCTTTTCAGATGAGGTTCCTGGATATCCTGGGACATCTAGGAAATGAAACAGTTCCAGTAGATTTTTTTTTTTGTCATAGTGTTTCCATGACTTGGAATAGAGCTTCGTAGGATGGAGTCTGTTATCTGCTAAAGTTATTAAGTCAAACAATAAGAGCCAAATGTGTAGGAAGAAGAACACTCATGAGTTATTTTTAGCTTTTCCTGAAACCTGCCTATAACAAGAAGGAACAGATATGTCAGTGGAAAACAAGTCCATTGGTGGTTGCGTTATGTCCTGAAGATCTTTCCTTTACAAACTTTTATCTTGTCTAAGGACTTGCAAGGCTGCTATCTGTCTTCAAATTACTATGTTTTACTAACATCTGCCCTATAATTTGTTGTTTGCTTGTTGTCATGTCACAGTGCATTACAAGTTTTACTCCATGCTGTAATCATTCTCAAATTAAAGCTTTGGATGCTCTGAAAACCTTTATAATATGCAGGTTTAACAGATGTTGTTTGATAGTGATTTCATTTAATTTAACCAAATAGAAAAAGAATCAGGAAATAACTCAATATTTCATATTGGCAAAGAATGAGTTCTTGCTTGAAGCTAAATCCTTTGTAGACTGCAAATTGTCGAACTCTAGAGCCAAGTTGTCAGCCTTGAAAGTGTCATGTAGGATGAAGTGCTACTGTCCCTTGGAAACACATTTGCAACCTATCGTGTTGAAAGTCCAACAGAAAATTTCAGTTCTACATCCTTAACAGTGAATTTTTTTCTTTTTTCTTTTTTTTTTTTTTAAAATACCGTCCAGTCAAACTCTCAGCCTGCAAACTTGAATAGTTGTGTTTTGAGATTACAGGAGGTGAAATGAGGGAATTTGAAAGTGTTCCAGGGCAACATCCTTTTTTGCCAAACAGTGGCACAAAATGCCACTGGCCACACAGAAAAGTGAAAATTGGAGGAAATTAAAACACCCACCCTATATTTAAATGTAGCTATATAAAATAGTGGTCTGTCTTTCCTATTCCCTTCTCCTGCATAGCTATATATATATGTATGTGGTTAGCCACTAGAAGAGCAAAACAGCAAGGTCTAGAGGAAAACACCTTCAACCCTTCCCCAGAGTTACTGAAACCCCGACTCCACTGCTGGTGCTGTTGAACTGATGTTGACGTTTTTCCTAGTGCCCTGCTAGAGGTTGGCTTGTACGGAGCTTGAGATGGCCAGTGAAGGAGACGTCGGGCTGGAGGCGAGTGAGGAATACTGGTCAAATGTCTCAAATCGGACAATAATTAATAAAATTCTAAAACTGAATCAGAGCTTGAATTGTAAAGAAATAGGCTTAACTTTTAAAAAGCTTTGTTTGAAACTAAGCAGAACTCTAGAGGACATATTTTCAAACGTGTCCTCGAAATTTACCTACGTAATGTTATTCACCAGCATGATAGTTTAACTAGTACTCCAAACTGAAACCTCAACCTCGTGCAGAACATCAGAGTTTGATAAGAAAACTCTGGCTCTTAACTAAAGTCAGACCTGTCCAAACAGTGCCAGTAGGTGTGTTTTGGTGTGTGCAAAGTCTTTATTTGGGCAAATACAGCAGTATGCTTCCAGCAGGTACGTGTTCCAGAAATAAACACATAAACCACAGTGAAATCTTTGAGGTGGAGACTTCTGTAGGCAAATGTGTTTCTAAGTAGTTGCCCCTTAAAGCAGCTTATTCTTGAAATGGTATGTTATTGTTCAAGAAAAGAAAAAAATCTTGTTGAACAACATGAATGGCATATGTTTTTAGACTAAAAGAGGTCTTTTGGGGCTCTTCAGCATTTATTTCCTCTAGAGACTTTTAAAGACACATTGTTTTGTGGCGAACTTCACCGCTGTATGTGTTTGTGGATTTGTGCCTATTGGAATGCTAATTGCTATTGTTTAGAGCAACTCTTGAAATCTGCTCAGTTACAGTGAAATAAAAACGTACTTTTCTTGTCCTACTCCCAAGGTCTAATCCGAGCCCAGTTTCCCGCTGTTTAAGGCATCGTTGCTGCTCTGTGAAAAATGCTGTCCAGCAACAGAGAAAATAGCGTACAGAAAAACAACGGCTTTACTGTACACCAAATTCTGTCAAATATTTTTTTTTCAATCTAATCTCTTACAGCTACAGTAATCTTTGTTGCTCATTGTAAGGATGGCAGGTAAGACCATTTTCAGACAAAAACGTGACCTTTAAGTTGACAGTGTGGTCTAATTGGTTTCAGTGATAGACCCCTGCACAACTGGGAATGGAGGATGCTCACAAATCTGTCAAAATGAGAGAGGAATTGCAAAATGCGAGTGTCATCCGGGGCATTATCTTTCTGCAGATAAAAAGTCCTGTTTAGGTAAGAAACTATGGACTATTTATTGGGAAGATATTAATCAGCTCTTTGGCTTACTGAGCTTTGAATGAAAAGGAATATGTTATACAAATATGTGTATGCATTTTGAAAAAACCGTTTCTTTCTGTGATGTTTGTGTCAGCCAGTAGTCTTGAAGGACGATTTTAGTAATGAAAATTACTCTGTGATCTCTTAAATCAGGCTTTCTAGCAACTGGATTTGTAGATGCTGTAGTGTTATTCTTGTAGAGTCCCTTTAAAATAATGCCCCAGATACAGTGCCTGCAAAATTGGTTCAAGTAACACTCTGAACCAGGTCACTGAAAACCTATTTAGAATTCAAAGGGCTTTTAGCTGGAGAACTGTTTCCATATTAATAGAGAAACTACTGTGAAGGAGGAAATCATGAAGTGTAAGATTTCCAAAGAGAGGAGCTTAAAAAGTTGAATTCTGAAGTCTTGTATTTAGTCTGGGATTTTCAAAAGGATCTAAAGCATTTCTGACCTGAAATGTGGGGGAATTGGAGATCAAAATACCTGCTTTTCTCTTGCGATATGATGCTTGGAAGCTAGATAGTTTATCAGTGTTATGAAGTAAAAAACACTTGAGGACTTCATGGTGCATGGATTTTTAACAACTTTGGCAGGGTCAGGGAACATATTCAGACACTAATTTTAAACTCCTGCTTTTGAAAACTAAAACTTTGCTGATGTTTAAATTGTTGTCTTACGTCTAGAGGGTGCTGGATACTTCACAAAATACTTGCTTCCTCCCCTAGGTGTTTTACTCAGTTGCCTGTAAGCCCTTCTGTGAGTAGCATTGCACACCGTAGTGATTCCCCTCTCTTACTCATGAGTAATCCCAGTAAGGTTACTGAAAAAAGAAAGTGTTTTCAAGTAGTGTAGACACTTCACTGATGATTAATAGATGGAAACAGCAGTAGGTTTAATACTGGGGTCAGCATGTTACTCGTTTTATCTCAGATACACGTTGACAATTCTCTTAATTTATGTATAAACTAAAGCACTAGGTAACTTGCAATGTTATATATTGGAAGAAATTTTCTTCCCAACCTCATGGCAGCAGTCTTTTGAATCATTAAGCAACATGTCTTACCACGGATATACAATTATTGTTTTTTCATCTAGAAATTATTCAATATCTTTTGCAAAATTCAAGCTGCTATTTGACTCTCGGGAAACCGAGCTGGAAGGAGACAGAGGGCAACTAAAGTGTCATACATGAGCTGTTAGCTGTATTTATAAGATGGCGACTGTGGTTCCATTTTCCAGCTTTCTATTCTTCTATTTGAAAAGGCAGAAAAAGAGAAACGAACATTTACAGCATTTGCTGGCATACTCTACTCGCAAAATGACAATTACAGAAAAAGGAGACATAACCCATTTTATTCTAAACAGCAGCTACTCACAGGGCTGCTTCAGAGAAGCTGTCATTTATCCTGAAATTTTCATGAGTTGGTGTGTGGTGTTTGCACTGCCTGGGGCCTCTTTTTGCAAGTAGGCTGATTGCATTTGTACAGCTACTTGTGTTCAAGTACAAGGGGCCATGAGTACGGCACTGGTTACAGCACATACGGAGGGGGAAAAAAAAAAAAAACTTTTAGAAAGTGGTTTGCTGTGGTAAAAGGTGAGGAGCTGTACACCAGGCTGTTCTCTCCTGTGTGTGAGACACTGACCCAGGATCGATGCGATAAATAATCTGTATTTTGCAAGTAAAATGTCAGAAGAAGAGAAGGAGCAGGAGGTGGATTCGGGGTTTGCCACGTGCAAGATAATGCCAGTCTTTGCACAGAGGTTGGTGTTTTCTGCAGCTGTGCTCCACAGCAGCAATATTTAGTGTGTTTGCTTTGCCTTTTTTTTCAATAATTAGTCCTTAAAAGTATTTTTATGCTCCCCTGAGATTTTTAGGAAGATGGATGCCTTTGGTGGCATTTAACTCCCAAATACAGACTAGTGAGTGTAAAGCTGAGGAACAGACTGCTTGACAGAGGACTGGATCAAAGAAGAATCCCCCCACCTGCAGCTCTTCCCCTTTTTTCTTTTCTTATAGGTGGGGTGAAACTCCTCAGATTAGAGTAGGTGCTTCCCTTCCGGGCTTCTGCAGAAGGAGCTGCATGATTCAAGATCTGTCTCCATCATACCTGCTGAAACCCAGCCACCACTTAATCCAAATCCTTTGACATTCAGAAAATAATCAGCTATTTCCTGCTCCATTCATTTAAATATAATGACATTGAGGACCTAGTGATAATTTTAGGGTACTGTGAGATAGGACTTTCTGAACTCTTCATGTGACTCCTTTTGCCGTTGCTCTTTTTACAGGAGTGATAAGTTGCTTTGGCTGATGCTGTAAATATAACATTTGATATTGCAAAAATTCACACTGAGAGGTTCAAGGTCAATGGTGTTTAGAAAAAAAAAGATTATTTTGGAGAATAATGTTGTGAGGTCAGTGTTCCTGGATTCATCAGATGCTTTCATTTGTAGGCTAACATCAGGGTGCTCTTCTCAGTGGCTCTTTGGAAATACAGCCATGTACGCGTAGAGCAATATTATTTTTTATTTTAATATCCAAATGAATGTCTTTGCCTTTCTCTCTACTTCGTAGACATTGATGAGTGTGCAGAAGGGAGAGCCAGGTGTGCTCATCGTTGTGTGAACACTCCGGGATCCTTCACCTGTGTCTGTAATCCCGGCTTCGAGCTGGGGGCTGATGGAAAGCAGTGCTACCGTAAGTGACACTTTCACAGCTATGCATTCCAGGCTATCTTATCTGCAAACTGCTATGCTTCATTTTTAATTCGGTTGGATTAGCACTCCCAGCAAAATAAATGTGTGCAAAAACTCAAGCTTAATACTATTTTCTTCATCTTCTGCTACCGCTGGTTTTGCAGGTTGATACATTCCGAAGTCTGTGTTCACAGACCTTAATTAGTGCATTTCAAAGAGCAAATAGCCCTGTTGGTTTATCTTCAGAGTCTGGTGAATTCTATTGCAAAGCTATCAAAACATTGCTGTTCTGTGAAAAGTATTTATTCGTACCCTCCTCCTCCCAATTTTCTTGCATGCTGGATCTGATGCAAGAGAAAATCAACATGATGTTCTGCTCTTGTCTTTGTCTACGTTTCCTTATGTTTCTCCTGAGATTATTGACGCTATTAAGTAGATGCTTTTAAAAAAGGGAAAAAACGCAAGATTGGGGATGAAAAAAAAAAACCTTTGAACAACTAAAATTTCCCAAACTAAAAAGATGCTGAACCCTGTTGTCTTCCCTCACATACTTACCTCTTCCCAGCGGGGTTTCTTAATCAACACTGCTTTTCTTGGGAAGGGGACTGACTCCCAGCGCTGTTAGTTGATAGGTGATGCCAAGGCTGTCCTTGAGGGCAAATTTAGATTAATAAAGGAGGTGATGTGGAAGAGCTGGTGTTGTTATGGCCCTAACATAAGCTCACTGGAATGCAGACAAAAGCACGACCTGTTTTAGCAAAGAGGTGGGCAAAGATCATTCAGTCTAATAATACTGTGCAAGAACTTTCAGCAGAATTTCCTTAGGAAAATACGCTGTATGCCAGAGAATGAATGCTTTCTTTAAGAATGTGTGTGTAAGAAATGCTTTTTAAGGATGAAATTCAGTTTCAAAGCATTAACATACCTTAAAAACAAAAACCAATTATGTGGGAGATATCCTGGAGAATTATTTCATGGGTGATTGGGAACTGTGAGCAGTGCAATGGCAGAGGAAATACAATTAATGTATAGGTACAAAATGATCTGTTATGGGGTTAAAAAAGTGGTTTAGACCACTTAGATTTCATTGTGATTTTCTGATAATATTTTTTCCTCGACGTTCACCAAATCTCAGGAGATGATGATTCTCTGTGCCTTATGTACAATATTACAGAGCAAACAATAAAAATAAAAACATTCTGCATATATTTATGATCAGGATTATCCCAGTGTTTGAGCAATTTACAGTCTTTGTTTATTCCTTCATTTCCCCAGTGGCATGGGCAAGCGCTGTTATTCCAATTTTACTTGTGAAGAACTGAGACAAAGTAAATGATGAAGATAGCGTATAAAGTCAGATTCTGCATTTGATTGCTGGATTTCCTCAGTCCCGGTTTAACACACTGGACAGGAGACCAGATTTCTTCTCCCTGGTGCAAATAATTGTACTATGCATGAGATGTAGCCCTCAATATATGTTCTCCTAATTTATACCCTCTTCCAGCTAGACTTGCACTTCTTGTCGGCAGGCAGGTTGCTCCCTGAGGGCACAAAAAGGGGCAGGATCAGAGCCACCACCACAGATGTGTCCGTGAGCTGCGGCGGTGGGGAAATGCCGTCCTCTGTACCAGATCTGATGGCCACCGCTCTGAGCTGGGGTGTTTCTGGACGTACAGTGGCTCCTTTAGGGAGGGTGTTTCTCACTTCTCCTACATAGTATGGGAAGTTAATTCCTCTCTAAATAGCTCTGTAACAAGACAATCTGGCTAATTCTTCAAGAGAGACTTTATAACCAAGCTTATAGTTTCTTTTCATCCCGAAGAAATTGTCTAATGAAGTACCTGGGTGGGAATGAATTGGCCAGATGTTCCCTTTCCTATATGAGGGTTTCCACTGGACCTGGCCAAAATATTGTGAGGACTGTCCAACACAGCCAAGTGCAGGAGGCTGGGGTGGTCTGTTGGGGCGAAGGAGGTTGGCGATGGCATCATACCACCACCCCGTCTTAATTGTAGGGGGACAAAGTCTCAGCAGAGGAGCTGCCACATGCCCCCTTGAAGGGACAGCCAAGGGTCAAAACCTGTGGATTGTTTTGCTTTGCGGTTAGATGTCAGGCTCACCAACAGGACTCTGCTATTAAGGTTGGAAGGCACTTGTGTTTGGTGGGTTTCAGAACCCAACTCTTGCCCGTTGACATACAAAACTAAAAGCTGCTTTTTGGAAAGCATAGGCAGCCTGGGTTGAGGTGGACCACCTGGGTTCCTCAGATGGTTCCTTGCCTCCTTTCGGGCAAGGGCAGAACTCATGGTTACATTCAGGCAAAGCATAAATCTCAGGAAACCTCTGAACGCTCCTGTGGCAGGCAGACTGCTGAAACGGCCCGCTTCACTTTGCTAAAGTCAAAAGCATCCACTGTTATGACACAAGGAGACAAATACCTGGAGTTCAGGGACTCCAAAACATGCTCTCCTCGGGTGTGCGTGGGAGTTGAGTTTATATTTCCTGCTACAGCAGTCAGCTTATGGATGCTTTTTTACAGAAGGCTTATTCTCCAGTGACTCTCCCCCTGTGCTTGCTTTTTAACATCCCTTTGATTTATTTCTCCGCAAGGCATCGAGATGGAAATTGTCGATAGCTGCCAGGACAACAACGGTGGCTGCTCTCACCGCTGTGAGCACACGACTGCGGGGCCGCGCTGCTCCTGCGACGACGGCTATCGCCTCGATTTTGATGGCAAAATGTGCGCAGGTAATTCACGGTAAATGCTGCATCTCTGCGGGAGGAGGCGTGGTGGGTCTCTCTGCCAGGGGAGCCTGCAGGAGAGCTGTCACTCAAGGAAATACCTTCCCATCTCCTTCCCTTCTTCTACAAGTTTTAATTAATACCATCCTCTGGCACTTCCTCAGCCCCTGCTCCAGCTTGCCTTGCTCTGCGTGTTTGCTGGGATTATTAATTAACGAGGGGAAGGAGTTCTGCCTCCCAGATGGAAGACGACGCTTCAGTGCATCACCAGTTGCTGTGGCCGTACCTCTTTGTATCCAGCCCGAGCATCATTCGCTTGACTTTTTTTCCTTCCCTTCTGCAGCTGGGAGGAGGGTCGGCTCTGGCTGGGAGCGGTAGCACTGCTGTTCTGAAGTGCTTCATGCACAAACTCCGCTTTGTGGTGTGGAAGTAGCTGTATTTCCATCAGATTTGCTCAGTGATGAGATTGCACTTCTGGCTGTGAGAAGTCTCACTTAGGAAGTGAAAGCAATAGTTAGAGTTGTTTTTATTTCGAGAGAAGAACTTAAAAATTCCTTCATGTTTTAAATGATTTTACGACGTGGGTTTTTTTGTTGTTGTTGTTTGCGGCTTTTGCTATGCAAACTGTATCTCATTCTGGTTTAGGCTTGCTGTCACTAGGCCATATAGCCAAGAAGAAGCAGGGCGAGGGGGAGGAAGAGCAGGCATCCCAGAGCAGTATAGTAAGACATGAGAAGTAGAGAGCGGGAGCATTGGTGAATGTGAGAGACGTTAGAGAGAAGAAGAGTCTTGCAACAAAAAAAGCCAAGTGCAGGAGAGAGGAAGGAGCAGGGGAGGAGGGAAGCACTGAGGTCTGCAAGGGCGGTTGATGCTGGAGCTTAAAAAGCAAAAGAAAAGAGAGTCAGGGAGGCAGATTTGGACCCGAGTCTCGCAGGGGTGGGGTGGGTTACGCAGTCTTGTTCGTGTACGGCTGAGAGGAGGCAGAGCACCTCCTGCCCGCGCCCCAGCTCAGTGACCTGCCGATGGAGATTTCAGAGGGAAGCAGTTCTTCTGGACACGGTGAGGGAAGTGAGAGCACAGGAGAAGGGTTTGGCAAGGCTGAGGACAGGAAAAGGTGCTCTTAACAGCAAAAATCTCCTTTTTGTCGGATGCACATTTCACATTCCCACACAGATAAGGGGCTGTTGCTAGACCCCAGAGAAAGGCATCATCTGACGACTGCAGAGGAGCTTGGCTTGTGACATTTCTGGAAAACACTCCATGTTCAAATAACCTGCATTAATCATTTTCATGCTGACCTCCTCGCCTCGATTGATTAATTACATTTTCTTTCTCCTCTTTCTCCTGTCGGTGTTTTCTAATAATGTTGGTACTCCTTCCAAGGTTAATTGAGACACTGACCTTTCCCATCTGCAGCTGCTCGTCTGGGTAACGTTCAAAAGCGCTTTGCAGACTCAGCATTGACAAGGTGGCCCTTGAATGACCACCGACCTGCTCAGCGGGCTGCAAGGGCTGCCATCGGCCGAGAGCCTGCAGTGAAAAGATAACAGCTCAATTCTCCTATCTAATCACCAGAACAGCGGTGTCGACGATACCAATTTCCGGATGGACACAGGGCAGGATAAGGCAATGGGCAATTAGTGATCAAAAACTGTAATTGCGCCTAGCAGCCTGCTGATGTCCAGCAAATGCGTTGCTGGATCAGAGTGTTGTTTCACTGTTAATTTGCATTGAATAAGGTTGAACATAGAAAAAAGTCCAAATGGTTAAATGTAGATTACTGTTAAATGGATAGTCTTTGTGGGCTGATGAGACTTAGTTGTTGTCTGTTTTGTAAATCACCTCGTGCCAGCTAAGACGTGCATAAAAGATGCTTCTCCCTGGACCTGGAGGGTATTGACTGCCGTGGGAGAAGGGAGAAAACAGCCGCCGTCAGAATTCAGATGGTGATTCATGTGGGTGAAGGGAGAGGGAAGACGTGGAAAGGCACGAGCTGAAAAGTGCAGTAGCTGCCCAGCAAAACTGTGACAGGAGCTCAGGCCGTGTCCAAGGGCTGAACGAGCTGCCCCTTCCTTGCAGAGCTGGATGAGTGCGAGACCGGAGAGTCCTGCTGCTCCCAATTCTGCATCAACTACGCGGGTGGCTACGAGTGTGCCTGCAAAGCCGGGTTCCAGCTGAACGCTGATGGCTGCGCCTGCGACGGTGAGTCCTTTGATACCGGTGGCTCGGTCTAACTAAGCACGACAGCGGGTAGAAGAAATGCTGTCAAAGCTCGTCACAAGCCTTTGTGGACATTTCCCTCATAGGAGAATCAGTGACCGTATGCCAGCTTTACCGATAAAGTTTTACAAATCTGTAATTTCCACTTTGTGAGACTGGAATACATTAATAACCCAGCATCCGACATGGAGAAGTGAGGCTGTGGGAGATGAGCCAACAGACAGGAACTTTTCCTTCTCTCTCCATGGACGCTGTATATTGATGTGTGTTAAAGACTACTTCTACAAAAGGAGAGCCCTCAAAGTAACCAAAGGATCAGCTGAGCTTAACAGCTTAAAGCAGCTCTTTTCACTTGAGACATAAACATAGGTGAAATAATCCGTTCCATGTTGCCCTGAAATGTTTTAATATCTCCAGTACTAGTGAGAAACAGAGAGCCCCAAAGTACTAAGAAAATTGGGTTTCTTTAGGTACCGAATAATTTTTCAGATGCAGTCAGGCACAGAGTGCACTCTCCAAGCAGAGGTACTTGCACCTATATTGCATTTATATGTCTTTTTTCTAGATGTGGATGAATGTCGTCTTGATAATGGCAACTGCGACCATTTCTGTGTTAATTCTCTGGGGTCGTACGAATGTGCATGTAAGGAGGGTTACAGGCTTGCTGTTAACAGATGGTCCTGCATCGGTAAGTTATTTTTATATCTTGAAGACCGTTAAATATTTCCCACTGATTCAAAATGTGAATGCAGAACTGGGATTTTCACAGATCCTGGGATTTTGGGAGCCCAACTTGAGCCATCTCTAAATGCGGCCAGGGTAGAGCTACGTGCAACGCGTGGATCCCAAGTTCATCCTCAAGTAATGGGTTTTGCCAAAGATTAATGGCAGATGAATGCTTAAATCCCCTGGACATGTTTGAAAACCTAATCCTCGTGTTTTAGAAATAAATACTGTTTTGACACTTTTCCTGCACTATTAGATGAAGTTTAACATCCTGTGGAAAAGAAGGTAGCCAGATTTTGCTTTGATGAACCATGGCAAGTTTTCCACTAGTCAGTGGTGTGATTCTGGATTTCTGCCAGTGTAACCAGTACAGAGTTTAGCCTAGCAACTTAACTTTATAACCAAGTTTAGCACCTGCTAAACCTTGGGCAGGGTTTGATATTTTAACCAACTCCAAAAAGAAAGTCGACTGATTTCCCATCATTTTAAGGCTCAAATTTTAGTTTTTCTGAAAATAAATTGGACAGCCAGCCTCTCACTATATTTGTCATCTCCAAAATGAGCTAGAGTGATGACCTTCATTAACTAAAAATAATCTCAAACTTCAAGTGAGGAAAATTAAACTCCTTGTTTAATTTTTTTTTGGACTCTCCAAGATCAGAGGAAAGGAAAGGGAAACTTTCTTTCCCCACCCCTCCCTTTTCTCTTTTTTGGATAGCAGAAACTCTGCTTGTAAATACAGATGAGAAAATTAATCGGCTGTGACTGCTGTACAGACTGCACAGGGGTGTAGCTGGAAAATCTACCAGCATAATTAAAAAAAAAAAAAGGGATGTAAATGAGAGGAAAGTGTCATGGAGGAAGTCTCAGGGCCAGGTCCTGATGGCACATGTGTGTGTATCAGCCCTAGGTGGGGAGGAGACGGATGCAGAGGAGGCAACAGGGTTTGCCAGGGCTCCGGGGCTGCAGTTCAGAGGTCCCCCCCAGCTCCTTCGCTACGCACTTGGTGCTCTCTACGAGGATGAAGACCTACGAGGAGAACTCACCCTGGTGCACAGGGTCGGTGAGTGAACGAGCATCGCTTTTAGCCATCACAGCACATTGGAGGAGTAGTCTCGAAAAGAGGATTCGGGGTGAGAGTTATACTCAGCTGGCTGGGCTTAAGCTGTCAGGAGGAGCAGTGGAGGGATGAGCGTTAATCCTGCTTTCTGCTTGTCCTCCATGCCAGCAGGGAGGAGGCATCACCACATGTCCCATCCCAAATGGGACATGTTCGAGGAGCAAGGAGGCTCCTCGGTTACAGCTGCTGCTGCCTGGATGCAGTGGGAAGGGATGCGGAGGGAGGCAGCGGAAAAGTGAGCAACACAAGTGAGGGATGAGAGGCTTCTTGGAAAAACAGAGTGTCTGCACAAAGCCCCAGAGGCAACAAACAGAGAGATCCTCTTCATCCCTGGGGTGAGAGGATGGCGTGGGTTACTGCAATGCACAAAATCCACCAAAGCTGCTCTACTGAGAACAAGCCCTCGGGAAACGCTCCCTTTCTCCTAGAGCTAGGAAAGGGGGGTGTGGGGGCACGTGTGCCTGTTTACAAGCCCTTTTATAATAATTGGAGGGGTTTTTGCTGAAGATATTTGAATTCTTGTTTGTGGAAAAAACAACCTTCTGGAGGTTCAGGTCCCTTTTGATGCTTTGGGCGTGTTCTCCGGGAAAAGCCCGGACCCGTCCACATAGAGCTCGGGCTGGCTGAGGGCTTGGCAAAATTGAGTTTGGCGAATGGAGCACGTGAGCACCCATGGTCACAGGAACGGGCACAAAGCAGCTTTGAACCTCACCCGGACTTTGCATGACCTCAGTCTTTCCATTTGAAGGTGGAAACTTCACCATTTAAAGAATGTTATGAGTTGAAACGCTGTGCTTGCTTTCTGATGAGTGCAGTATGTGCTGGTGGGTCACCAGGGAGGAATGAGCTTTCTTATTTTTGTTATGTATGTCCTGTGATTTTTATATAAGCTCTGATTATTTATCCGAGGACCGTGCCCTACAGGCAAAAATCAGGAACTGGTCTTGACTTTAATAAAAAATTAACTTATTTTTATGAACAAAACTGTTAAGACCTCCCAGATCACATAGCATCCAGCCGGACTCAACAACACTGATAACCAGTTGGGAAACTGATAAATGAGATAACCGCAGGCAAAATTATCAGGCCTAGAAACCACAATCAAATATTTATTGACCAGGTTTTGCATGTTTTATTTATATTTAGCCACATAAATTTGGGTGTTATCAGTCATAGCTGAGCATCTGCACTTTTTCTGAAACTGCGGCTTTGCAGCACGTGATGGTTTGAAGGAAAAGGTGATGGAGAAATGAAACTTTTAATGGTTTAGTATGTTCCGTTACCTCCCAAATATTAATTTATTCCTTATGCTTTCAGACATATTTTTGTGCTGCTATCTGTATTATAAAAAAACATGCTTTAACAATAAGCTGATGCAAGTAATTCAGTACTTTCTTTAGCTTGAATGACTTTTTACTGTAGAAGCATGACATTTTTAATGGTAATCTGTATTCTTCTCCTGAAGTATGAATTTGTAACCGGTTCCAAGTGGGAGCACTGGGATTCTGAATGTCTCTGAAAGCTTGGGCATTTGTTCAGCTACAGAAAAAGGAACAGTTGGGTGCTGAGACCTAGAGGAAATCTGGCCTCACGTAGAAAATCGCTGGTGAAAAGCAACCAGCCTGCTGACTTACTGTTAGCTGAAATAATCTGCCAGCTCGCTTTCAGGTGTTGTTCAAAATCCCCTTCCAAAAAGCCTCCAGCCACAGCCATAAAGCCTTGAAGGCAATAAACTGACCTCGAAGGCCAGTAAACTGATACGATCTTAATGTCATCGAGGTATTTTAGCAGAGAGTAACATTTGTTTTCTATGCCTTTCTCAATAGACCCCACGAAGAGAGGATATGAGAGCGTGCGTGTCTGCGGGTACAAGGGAGAAGAGGAGGGTGGGGAAGGCGAGGGAGGAATGCATTTTCATACAAGGTTTCCCATATAAACTATGCCTTTTTTTTTCATATCCATGAAGAAAAAAGGAAGTGATGAATGTGTATTATGCTTTGTTTTCCTAGAATAACACTCAAACTATGCTGTTAAAAATATCATTGAACTGTGCTTAAATAGCACCGCATCCACCTACTGCAACAGAATAACTAGAAGGATAGCCTAGCAAGGAGAAAAGCAGATTCTCTCCCAAGAAATACTTTTTATTGTATACAATATTGTCAAACATTAGGTGCAAATTCATTTTTTATGAAGACAAAAAATTTACTTTTAAAAAGCAATTTTAAGTGGTTTTGATGGGGAATTACAGCATTTAAGGGAGTAAATTCCAGACGAGGTCCCAGCTTTCCTCTTATTTAGACTCTAAAATTTGAGGAGGAAAATTTGGGAATCTCCATATGGGACTGTCTTTTGAGATGAATCAGTGATATTTGCAACACTACTATCATTAACACTAACAACGTGAATACTTTTTTTTGCAGGCTGTCAGTGTTGTGTAGGTTCCTTTCTGCACTTGTGCACCTGGAACGATAGGTAAGAGCTTGTGGAAGTCTTTTGTCTGGATGCTCACGAAACCTTCTGTGTGTTTTTTTCATTTCAGTTTGCCTTGATAACACTTTTGGCAATGACTGTAGCTTGAGCTGTGAGGATTGTCTGAATGGAGGCAGATGTAACAGTGAACACAGTGGCTGTGTTTGCTCACCTGGCTGGACCGGCATTATCTGTAACGAAAGTGAGTACAGTGTGTTTGGAAGGTGGGGACTTTGTCCTACTGCTGTGGCACTGCAGATAGGTAGGAAATAGGAATAAGCTGTTGTACTTTTAATCTGTGAAGCTAAGGAGCACGGCTGTCTCACAGGCAGATCAAAATGTTATTGTAATGGGGCTCATTAAATAGAAATTGTAAGGGATGCTGCAGTATGGGGTGCGAACCCTCCAGCAGCGAGGTCTCTGCCCTCCAGCACAGCGCGGTGCACAGTACAGTACCGTACCCCGCCTAAGTATTTGGTTGGTGTTCATTCCTCTTCATTCTGCTGCTAAAAAGTGCCAAAGTTTGCCTGGCATGCTTCGTTCCACACCTTGCCTCGCTGACTTTCAGAAGTCTGTCCTGGCAGGTGGTGTGACAATCTGGGTGGACATGTATACTGAAACTTGATTTTTTTCCATTATAGCATCCCAAGACATTGCCTTTTTTATTTTTTTTTCTTGCGTTGGTAAACTTGGGCATGATTTTTTTCCCTTATAATTCTTTTTATTAACATTTTTTTCTTGAGATGGTTGATTTTTAATATTGGAACTTGTATTTCTCAGAATTCTCTTACCAAGTCAGCCAGTGCCCTTTGTTATAGCCTTTTATTCTCTTTATTCCTGCTTCCTGGCAGAAGATCTTTCTGATTCGGATATATGTGTCAAAACCAATTGGAAAGAGAGTGTGGTGATTTCTTGATGTACTGTGCCCTGTTCTTCATCTGCAGTTTGGCAAAACTTGTCTGTTGCTTGTCTGAGACTTCGTACAGCAGATCTCCTGCATGTTTGAGATGAGTCCCTCCATTTCATGGTGTGTGGCATGATGACCCATCATACTCGGAAAGCCTGTGCTATCCCTGATGAGACAAAAGACTCAGTGAAGAATTATTATTTAGCATTGGTAGACAGCAATCTTCAGGTTAATCGCTATCAAGATTGTTTACGAGGAATCATCACAAGGACAGAAATATAGAAAAAGCAGCAAATGATTGAAACCAACAGTCTGCCTGTAGTTATTTTGAGAGACTGATCGTGGGTTTAGTTTGTAAACATTGGCGACAGCTGAGAGAATACGAATGAAGAGGATTAAAATGGTAATTTCTAGTCTACCTAAGACAGTTCAAGCTATCGAGTTAGGACATTCTTACTTCTATTCATGGTGCTATAGTTGTTCAGGATAGATTATAAAAATTTCAAGAGAGGATCCAAATTCTTTAGTTCACTTCATAAATAATAATAACATTTTTGCTCTATATTTACAGTAGATATCCATGCATGTAATCTGGTGGAATTCACCCCTGGAATTTAAAGAACTTTAGTGGGACTGCATTATTGAGCCAAGCCTGCAGTCCGATGAAGTAGGCATTGACAATGATAAATACAGTGTATAATCTGTATGAATTAGTCATATGTGATTGCTCGCACTCTTTTCTCTCACTTTCTCAATATACAGCATGGTTCATGGGTTTAGGGTAAGCTTAAACAGTTGAGAAAACTGGAACTAAATTTCTGTAATAATGCACCAAGGAAGCCGGATGGAAGAGCATGTGAAATGCCAAGTTTCTTAATGTACATTGATAAAATGTCAGTTAACTCAGATGACTCCAGCAACTGTATTTACCCAGCCAGCTCAGGCTGCAGACAGTGGAGCAAGGCTTCGTTTCACAATTTATTTTGCTTTGGAGCAATGAGGGCTTTAGGAAGGAATCCCGTGCTGTTGTGGATCCATCCATTTCTGCCATGATCATCTGGGGAATTTCAGAGACTATGTCAGAAAAACACAACGTTATTTTTGTAATAGTATTTGGGAGAAAAAAAAATGTTTAAAATACTTATCTCCAAATATTCAAAACTGTGCTCTCATTTTTAAGCTTTATACTTAACAGGCAATGTTTTTTGAGCACCATGCATTGTGTGGAGGGCAGCATACACAGGGGAGAATTTGGATGCATCACGTAGCACTTCACATAAGTAAGCTTGGTTAATTCAGGTGTTCTTTTAAAATTATCTAGTAAATATTACAGGGGTATGCATCACCTGATATAGGAAGAATATGACTTCTTTTAGTCAAGCGGGCTCTAAACAGCCTCTCTCCTTGCTCAGTTTTGATGACCAGAGTCTAGTTTGCTTCATTTCTACCAGAGGGAAAGGATTTCTTGGCCCATTCATCTTCCCTCCTTTCTCCCCAGCTTGCTCCCCCGGGACGTACGGCAGAGGCTGTGCCAACGTTTGCAAGTGCCAGAATGGAGGCTCCTGCGACCCTGTCACGGGGCAGTGCCACTGCCCGCCCGGCGTGCACGGCAAGCTCTGCGAAGACGGTACGGCTTCCCTGGTCTTGCCGCCAGTACCGCGTGCCTGAAACCTCACCACTTCTTCGCCCTTGTTTCCATCTAGATGTAATTGTGCGCGGTGAATCTTAGGGGCCCGAATGAGAACAGTCTCCATCGTGCGCGATGTACTATAACCCTGCGGCTTGCCTCGCAGTGACTTTTGTTTAAATAATAAGCGAGGCAGAGGATGAGAAAAAGTAAGTGCCATGTAAGGATGGGCTGTGCAGAGCCCCAGGTCAGCGGCAAGTCAGCGTGGTCTTTTCTGTAGCGTCGACTGAAAGAGGGCTGATTTAACACTTAACAGCTGATGCCTTGCTGTGTTTGTGCACTTAAAAGGTTGCCCAAAAGGCCTCTTTGGGAAGAACTGTAACAAACCGTGCAACTGTGCCAACAACGGCTATTGCCACAGACTCTATGGAGCCTGCCTCTGCGACCCTGGGCTCTACGGGCGCTTCTGCCACCTTAGTAAGTCCCCGTTATTTCTCAGATCTCTTTAACACATGCACAATGTAACGATCTTAAAAAGATTTCACATCATGTATAAAATGAGCGAGGCTTTGGGTTCTGTGATGAGCTGGAAGTAGTAGGAGGACGTGACATTTGATGCATGCCAGGAAGCCCCAGAAACTTCATTAATCTTTTTCTCTGCCAATTAATCTTTGCCGTAAGGATGGATATTTACCAATGCACAAAGGTGTGGACTATAGGTGGGGTTGGGTTGGGATGGGCAGGTTAACATTAGGGTTGTTGGTGAGGTTAAAGTCTGATTGGAGCTAGTTAGTGGCTGCCGATACGATTGGAGTGGGAGCTGAGGAGCAGGGCTGGCTGGGGCAGGATGAGGGTGAAATTTTAAATGGGAATAAAAAGAATCAAACCAAAATTGTTGCAAAATAGATGGTCAAGTTTCTTTGCACTTACAGGTTTTGTTCATGAAATTTATGCAAGATTGAAAAATTGTTATGTGATTTGTGTTTTTTTTTCATTGAAAGCTTTTGTCTTGGAGTGTATCCAAATATTTTTTCATTCAGAAACTTAAATAAGTTTGCTTTGAAACATTTCTGGGTCTTGCATTCACCACATATTGCTTGAAATGAAATGAATTACTTAATAGAGGAATCATGTAAACTATATTTTACACACCCACACATTAATAGGCACTGTCATAGGAATGTGGATGTATTTGCTGAAAGCAAAATGAACGTTTTGCTTTTTGCAGCAGTTGCATTCTGCAGCAGTGTGCAATTTCAAATAACTCGTGCATAATTACAGAGCTAACGATTCCTTTTCATCTGGCTGCAGCCTGTCCCAGGTGGGCCTTCGGAGCTGGCTGCTCGGAGGAGTGTCAGTGCGTGAAAGAGCACACGCTGGAATGCAACGCGAGGAACGGGACTTGCACCTGCAAGCCTGGTTATCACGGCAAAAAGTGTCAGAAAGGTATAATAGAAAACCAGATTCCTTATGTCTGCTTATTCCTTTGTCCTAGCTTTTTACTCATTCTTCCTCTCACATGCTTTGTTACGCTGGAATGCAACGCGAGGAACGGGACTTGCACCTGCAAGCCTGGTTATCACGGCAAAAAGTGTCAGAAAGGTATAATAGAAAACCAGATTCCTTATGTCTGCTTATTCCTTTGTCCTAGCTTTATTTCTCATTCTTCCTCTCACGTGCTTTGTTTGGTTGCCGCTGCTACTAATAGATTTAGATTCTACTAATTATTTTGTCGGTGGTTTTTTCATACAGCAAGCACCGTGAGTGCCTGCTATTACAGGGCTTTAGAGGGGCGTCAAGGGGAATACAGCTTAAGAATGCGGGAGTTTTAGCCTGATCAAATGACAACAGAAATCTAGAAACCAAATTTTAATACAAGCCTAAATAATGAAGACTGTGGGAGTTTTCACTTTTGTTCTTTCCTTTTTCCACACAGACAGTAAATAAGTGGCAAAACCTGTGTTTTATGGCGGGAGGGTTATTTGTAGATGGTTTCAGTAATGCTTCTTTTCCTTCAGATTTGCAGGTCTTTGAATTCAACTTCTTCTTTGTAGTTTTTTGGGGGTAGTTCAAAGAGAATTGTATTCCACATTCATGTTTGCGTGTCTCAGTAGCCCTCTCCAGACAGTAACGGAGTAATGTAATAAAGATTCTCCCTTCAGATTCCTCTCTGGGCAGGCAGGAACGTGTCGGATTTATGACACTGGTTCTGGGAGGTTTGGTGGAGAATAATAGTGATGATATTTAGTATCTTTAGCATTCTTGGTGACGTGCTCAGTTCTGGGGGAGAGCATCCCTCACCCAGCACTGGCTTTGCACCAAGGCAGAGAGCAGCAGAAGGTACAGACAGATAAGAAGAGTAATTTTGTAATGACTGTAATTGAATATATCCTTAAATATTCTGCCATTCTGTTTCTGAGTTGTATTTAAGCAGTAACCTCTTTGAAATGTCCGTGCAAGTGTTTAATAAGTGTTTACACTTCTTATCAGCACCTCTGAAACGTACATTATAATGCATTTTCTGCAAGTTTCTGCCAAATTATTTTCTGACTTTTTTTCCGTTTTCTTCCATTTTCTTAACACTTCCTTTTTCTTATACGTGTTCTGTGTCGACGCATTTTCCAGAGTGCACGCCTGGCTTTTATGGGGCCGGTTGCAAACTGAGGTGCAACTGTCCTGCTGATGTTTTGTGTGAGCATGAGACAGGAGTCTGCAAACATCCATGTCCACCTGGGTTTCATGGAGAAGAATGCCATTTATGTAGGTACTCACTGCATGTTTCCCTGGGAGGTACATTTTGGGTGGGAAAGCTTACTTGGGAAACTTATATTCGGTTATACAAGTTGCAAATAAAAGGGTGCATTTGTTGTTAATATGAGTTGGCACTTCCCTACTGAATCCAAAGTGGTATTTGGAGCCTGGCAACTGCTGCGTCGCTCTGCTTGCAAAGGTCAAGGCACAAGGCTGGGGCCAGTTACTAAAACTAACATTTGTCCAGGTAACTATCATTCCTTTTAAAGCTTCAGGCACAGGTTTTCTAGAGCTCTGTTGCAGTTAATTGCAGACCACTGATCACTGGGGCACTGATGCTAACCGTGATCATTTTGTACCAGCACAGCTCAGTTTAAAATTACTAGTGGTGGTGCCTCCTAATGTCTTCAAAATGCTTCCTGATACTAACCGTGTCTTTTGGGTTTCTTTTAACCAGCTTGTCAGCCTGGGAGCTTTGGAGTCAACTGCAGGCAGAGGTGCAGCTGTGGAGAAGCACCATGCAATCCAAAGACAGGGCAGTGTATTTGCCCAGCTGGGAAGACTGGTGCTACATGTGAGCAAGGTGTGTTAGATGTTGGACTAAGGTAGTGAGTGTCTTGCTTTGGAAGACATGATAAGAAGTGGAATTATTCTGTTTCCCACCAAAACTGCTGCAACGCGATATGCTTTGTTTGCAGAATGGGTGAAAGATAAGTCTTGGTGCAGAACATAGGACATTCACCACGTGGGATCACTTATAAAAGAGGGAGTGTGATTCAGTTACCCTGACCTGTTTCTCTGCTCCAATTAATAACAGTGATTTGTATGCTGGGCTGGGTTTGTACAAGTTGGGAAGAGATTTTGGGGCATTGCAGCAGTCCCAGAGCAGAGCCATGTGCAGACGTTGTGCAGGAGCTGTCAAAGGACCTTGGCCAAAGACAGCTATTGTGGAACCAGCAAGTGAAGGACCTGGAACAGAGGAAGGAATTAAAAAGGAGAGCATTATTGTGAGTAATTAAGTAAAGGGATCAGAAAAGTCTCAGGCACACTGAACTACCAAGGGGCCATGGGATGCCCCTCTACCCCTTGCAGAGCTCTGGCTGGTGCATGCCTGAGGAGCATCTGCCCTGCATGGTCCCTGGTTGTGGCTCACTGCCCCACAAACTGGATGAAGGAGGGGAACCTGGGCTCCACCCCACTGGACTGTGTGTCCATCCTGACCCCAACTCAGCCCAGGAAAAAAAAACAGCAGCAGCCCTCCCCTCCTGTATCTGTCTGCAGATTACCGTCCTCTGCTTTGCTGAGTGCAATAATTAATTTTTCAGATACATCCAAATGCTCCTGACATTACTGTACCAGAAACCAAAGCAATAAATAGACACACCATGACGGGAGTTGGAAGAGAACCTTTGGGTCTCTCTGTAAATGTGTTCTCATGTGCTGCGGTACAAAGACGTGTTGACTCTTTCAGAAGGTTTACTGTGGCAGCGCTGTAGCTCTGTAGAGATAATATAACAATCCTTTATCCAGCTTAGTTTTACTATTATTTTTAAATTCTTCAACGTAACGGCAGAAATCTAGAACTGCCTTGAACCAGAAAATGGCACTAGGGACATCTCATGTGGTTTTTTTCCCAGATTGCCCAGCTGGCCGGTGGGGACCAGACTGCCAGTCCTCCTGTGAGCCCTGTGCCAACGGGGGACAGTGCAACAGAGAAACTGGGGCCTGCGACTGTCCCCCTGGCTACACCGGGACATCCTGCTCTGCATGTGAGTCCTCACATTGGCCTTCTCCATGAAAAGAAAGTCACTTTGAAAATTCAGATTATGGTTTCATTTCTACCTTCTTGCTGTTTCGTGAGATGCTTGTTACGTTAGACACACTAATCCAAGATATAGTACCCTTTGACTTCAGGAATTCCCCAGGTTGGATTTGATATTATTTACTGGGGCGAGATTAAAGATAAATGCAGATGACAAGCTAAACTGCATCCCAAATTGATGTTATTGTTAGACCTAATTTATGGCAATACGTGTTTAGAAATACAATGTTTAATAACCACAATGCTTGTGTTGTAATCCTGGTGGCTTGGCAAGAGGTGCTGAGCAGTTGACCCACATGGCATCACTCTTGGCTTATGTTTGCAGCAACAGTCCTTGATGTATATAATTTAGGATTAAATAATAGTGAGGACGAAGGAGTAGTATCAGTGCTATGTCTGCAGATCCACCAGAGACCATGGGAACATACTCAAGCAAGTGGTCTGTGCTACCATGGCGTGGCTCCTTATCTGGCCTCTGGGTATTAAAGGCTGCTTGAGTATGGCTGTTGTGCTGGCATAGACAGGCTCTCAGGGACAGCACTGCTTCAGGCAAGACCTTAGTGGTGGCATATTTTTTCTCCTTGTTAGTCACAGAATCCCTTTTGGTTAAGGTTTACTCAGCACCTTTTTTCCTCCTCTGATTGATCCTGATGTGCAGGAGAAGTACCCGAAAGTCCCTCAAGCTATTCCCTCTTCACAGGACTCGGCCCCAGACACCTAGTATCCAAGTTACAGATGTTTCTTTCGTTTTGCCATTTTGATTTCTGCATGCAGCTAATGCATGTTTTAGAGGGCAAGCTGGTGCTGTCTTGTTTGAAAAGATCAGTCTGTGCCTGAGTGATTACCTAGGTGAGATCGCAGTCTGTTCATCTGTTTTCAGCCTGCCCCGATGGCTACTATGGACAAAATTGCCTGCTGTTATGCAGCTGTAGCAGCGGTGCTCGGTGTCACCACGTCACTGGAGAGTGCAGGTGTCCTCCCGGCTGGACTGGCCACGACTGCAAACACCGTAAGTCCAATGCATATTTGCTCCACAGGGCACACCGTATCTCCCAGGGACTTAACTGCAAATGTAAGAACCAGCTCTGTTTGTTCTTGGTCTATTACAGTTTTTTAATGTACTTTTGCTAATCTTATTGCTTCTGAAATTGTGTGGTTTTGGGTTTGCACAGCCTGGGTGGTTATAATCCTTAATTATCTAGGTTCAAAGTATTGAAATAGATGGCTGATGAAGCACAAAGTATTGATATAAGCTCTTATTTCAACACTATGGATCCCTTTGCCCAATACCATCTGTCCTGTCAGCGTTTTGACTGACAGACAGTTTTGTTTTTCATTTTCAGTGCAGATTAGCTTCAAGATTAATTCTTAATTTTTCATTTTGTTTAGGGGAGATTTATTCAACAAGTGAGTGGCATGTACAGTCATGTGTCTTAAGGTCACTTCTTAACTTGTGAATATAAATGCTGGGAGAAGTTCTGTTCTCTGGAAGAGCAGAGCATCCTTCTGTTGACTTTAGCATCGCTCTCCATATTGATGGCAGTGTAAGAGTGCGGATTTGCCCTTTTTGGATAGCGCCGTATAAATGTTAAGCCACTCTGCTTGATTCTTTCCTTTTCCTGTTTCACGGCTTTTCTGCTTGATTCGTTATGATCCCTCTTGCAAAAAGCCAACAGAATAAAACCTCTTTCTAAACTTGGTCTTAAACACATAAAATCATAGAAATTAATTGCCGTGTTGACAGCAGTCAGTTTTGGACCATGCTTCTCAGGCTTGGTACTGAAGAAAACTCTGGGAAAATCTGAAGTTTCCACCAATACGCGTATTTTAAAAATCAAACTAGTTGGTAATGTGTAAAGCTATTTAGATAGCTTTCCATAACTCCGTAGGCTGTCTAAAGAATTAAGAGACCATGGCAAAGAAAAGCTCTGATTTCTATGCAGGATAAGGTATGAGAAAAGTTGTTTTGCAGAGATGTCTCAGTAAGGCAGCTCTTCCAACTATTGCAGACCAGGCATGAAATAGATGCCCGACTCCAAAACCAGGTTTCTGTTGCCCTAATTGGCACTTTCGTCTTTATCCTTACAAGAAAGGAAGGAGATGCTGTGGTACGTTGTCATAATCATGTCAGCGTTATATGATTTTTAGAGTGAAAGCGGTAAGTTGCTTTGACAAAGACTGTGAGATTTCTCTGTCTGTGTCCGTGTTGCATTTCTTAGTATTCTGAGGAAAATATGGAGGATGTTCACAAATCTGTCTTGTTTTACCCATTAGCTATTCTGGTTATGCAGATTTTTGTGAACTGAGTCAATAGCTGATATTTCATTTCCATGAAATCATGCATTTGTGACTGTGGATTGATTGATATGGATTGACTATGAATAATTAGTTTTATATGGATGGCATAATATCTGCCTACTTTCAGCTGAAATAAATCAGCAAAAATTGTATTTATTTCCACTGATTTGTGGCCCATGCTGCAGCTGAGAGTCTAGTCCAGAACTCCTGTATCTTAAGGGGCCATTTTGCATCTTTTCTGTTCTCTCATTTAGATATAAAACAATCTGTTAGGAAAGCTCAAAGCTGATTCTCAATGTAAATACCATTTTACATTGCAGCCTGCGATAGTGGCCATTGGGGAGAGGGCTGTGAAAACACATGTGTCTGCAATAACAGCGATGGTAGCTGCGATCCGGTCACCGGCTCCTGCTTCTGTGAGCCAGGATTCACTGGGAAACGCTGCGAATGGAGTAAGTTGCCACTTTGTCAACACAGGGAACTTGCAAAACCGAGCAGCGGAAATTGTGTTTTTCCTGATAATTCCCTCGGGGAAGACTTTCGGGCTGTACTGCCTCCGGTCTGCCCCGCGTGTCGCAGGGCTCTCAGGTTGCACCGGGGTTAGATAGTTTCCCTAATTTGGATTCCAGAAAAGTTATTTTCAGATTTGTTTTGGACTCAACAGCTATTTTTAATGTTAAGACCTTGTGTGAGTGATAGGATTGATGTATATTTGGCTTGTGGCATAGAAGTTTCCATATCAGTTTTATTTATCCAGTTTTAGGTCCGCACTTTTTCTTCATAAATCTTTTTTTAAGGCCAGGCATATAGAAATGCTTCACATGTACATAACAGAAGCAAAAGCAGGAAGATTTAGGGTCCTCTCTTTATTAACAACAAAAATGTGCAGTGGTCTTACCAGAGGCCCACGGTCTTCAACAGAGGTCAATAGCAGATACTTTAAGAGGATAAACACAGGTATATAGATAATTCCTGATATGTTTCCCCAGGTTTCATCAATTTGTCACTCAGGAGCTTCTTGAGACAGAAGCAATATCTCTATATTTAATACAACTTTATTTTTTTTTTGCCAATCAGTGTGCCTATTTCCTTTTTGATACCATGCAAACATTTGGTATCCACTTCATCTTGTGGCAGTAAGTTGCACAGTTAAGCTGCTATTATTATTATTATTGATTATACTGATGTTGTTAAATAAAATAAATGTTTTGGCTATTAGTTTGACAATCTTACAGTAGCTCAGATGTAGCTACCGGAGTCTCAGTAGTGTAGGCAGAATTAACGGCTGGTGTCACACAGAAATGTCAAAACAATTAATCTGGAACGGTGACCTAAGACAAAAAAAACCCTGGAAAGTTGATCTTACAGCTTTTGTTGCTGTTGGCACAGAGGGAATGGAAGGACAGTTAGTTGAGAAGACCAGCTCCCAGAGAAAGAGCTGCCAGCTCCACTTCTCTTTCGCTCTTGACCTGTCCCAAAACAGCACCTCTGCGGACAGAAAATAGCCAAATGGCTGGTTGTAATCTTCTCTGGCGAGGTCATCGGTGAAGCCATTGCCGCTGACAAAACATCTGGCAATCCTTAGTCTTCTGTCTATGGGTTTTCTGTTTTATTCAGTCTTTTTACCCCACTTTAATTGTGTGTGTGTATATATACGTATAAAAAAATGCATTTATATGTGTGTGTGTGTGCACATTATCAAAGACATATTTCTTTCCTAAACATTTTATGCTACCTTGGAGGTGAGATCTTTACTACCCCTGGAGAGCTCCTGTGCTCCCAAGGCATCTCTGCAG